TTCTGGCAGACTTGAGATAGGTATGATTCATAGCTCACCCCTTTTAATCAAACAACTTAGACAGAATTGAAATCAGCCTAAACATTTTGCATCCAAAAAGCTAAAACAAGTCAAGATTAACAGTTTCATTTCATTTGTTATCAAATCTATTCCAAGACTGTGGGCACTAACTGGTGCTTAGCTTGCTTCGTTCTAGCATGCAGCACTCCTTGCCAAATCTGGTACAACAAGCTTGACAAGCCAAGAATCTGCCACGTATCCAACCCTGGGTGACAGAAACAGTACATTTGGCTTCTAAGGAGTAGGTTGCTGACAAAAGCAGCATTAAGTATGTTTGCAAATAATATGAAATCCATTTTTAGAGTGCTTTGACTTTACACCTGGCTGCTATGACCCCTGCTTAGCCAAGAGGTCTCTTAACTCTCCCCTTTCCATTTGTGTATAATCCCCCCTTAAAACTATAAAACAGTAAGTTAAGAGAATAAAAACTGAGGATTAACATACGCAAACTGTATGTTAATTTTGCAAAAGTAGGGCATGCAATTTGTTTTGGTATTGCTATCTTCTACATGACAGCTGGTATGTGTAGTGGTTTGGGTGTTGGACTATGAATCTTAGAGACCAGGGTTCAAATTCCTCTTCAACCATGGAATCCCACCAGGTGACCTGGGCAAGACTCACCTTCTCAGCCTCTGAAGAAGGCAAAGGCAAACCTCCTCTGAACAAACCTTGCCAAGAAAAAACAGTGATGGGTTCACCTTAGGATTGCTGTAAGTCGTAAATTTGAAGGCACACAATAAGAAGAGAATTCCAGCCACCCAGCTAAACTCTTCTACCTAAATATTCCATTCTGTTCTCTCTTCTTCACATAGCAGTCAGCAATGGGTGCCCACTCAGCAAAGTCCGTCCTCACAGACTAATTTTGGAAGAAGCTGAGGCACACAAGAACAACAACAACAATCTCCTCTGAGTGATTTTTAATAACAATTTTTTGTACTTCTGTAAACCCCTGCGGATACTTCCTGTCTCATGTACAGATGGTGCCATTTTGCCTACATAGGGCTGCATACACAGAAAATAAGGTCACTATG